GCATGAAGATAGATATTAAACAGGGCAGGAGCTAACACACAGCCTTGCTTCACACCAGAGACAACTGTAAAGTCATCAGAGGTCTCTCCACTCAGCTGCACCCTCGCTCGCATACCACTGTGCAGACATTCAATTAAACTTACAAACTTACGCGGGCAACCAAACTTACCCAACACCAGCCACAGTGCCTCGCGGTTCACCGTATCAAATGCCTTGGTGAAATCAACAAAAAGCGAGTGCAATGGCTGGTGTCGTTCTCGGCACTTCTCTTGCAACTGACGAGCCGCAAACACCATATCTATAGTGCTGCGACCCGAACGGAATCCACATTGCTCTTCCGCCACGTGAGGTTCCACAATCTGACTCACGAGGCGATGGAGCAGGATTCGGGCAATCACCTTGCCCACACAACTCAGCAAGTTGATGCCACGATAATTCGTGCAACATTGCTTGCTCCCTTTGCCCTTGTACAGTGGTAGCACAAGGGCATCCTTCAGCTCAGAAGGCACTTCCTTCTCAATCCACACGCGTTGCACCAAGTGGTGCAGCGCAGTCAACAACGCGGGTCCACCGTGTTTCAATACTTCAGGTGGGATCCAGTCACCTCCGGCACATTTGCCGTTTCGCAGCTGAGCAAGTGCTCTCTGCGTCTCATCCAGTCTCGGCGTATCCGCCAGATCCGCCTTGAAAGAAATACATGGTTGGCGGCATCCGGTTTCGGATTTGCCTGTCACTGTGGCAAGCCACAGGATGCCTGCGCCTACAGAGGGACCATGGATGGCTTGCGCTGCACCACCCACGGCTCCAACCACATACCCCATATCCAGTGTAAACCCGAAGGAATAAGACCGGGAGGCATGCGGATGGGAACCACGTTTCATCAACGGAGCCGGCCCACACTCCTTCACAGGCAAACACAAGCACGCTGTATTTGGGGAATCAACCGCACACAAGGCGGTGGCTGGACCGTAGTCCGCTCCACACTGAGTGCATGGAACCGCTCTTTGAGCCTAGCACGGACACAAGAACCGTGCACTCCGTCCCCTCCAGCAACGACCAACTGTCTCCTGGAGCCAGTAGGAACGATGTAGTGGGTAATAGACAGGTAGGCACCTTGTCAACATACACATCAAGCGCAACCATACCAGGGATATCAAACAACAGCCATTCACTTTAAACGACAAGCTGAAATAAAATAAATCCAATAATGCATACAGCTACGGTGGCATAACTCTTCGCTAAATTACCATATGAAGTAAGTTGGTTAGCAACAAATCCGTGATAAGTAAGAAATGTCCACAAGTTACTTAAAATGCTACAAACGCAACAAAATTACCGAAGATAAGCGCAATTAGTGTAAGCAACGTGGCCAGTTAATAGAACATTATTCAGGGAGGCAGAACAAACCAAATAAACCGGAATGCAATTTATCCAGCTTAAAAAGACCTAGTTTAAGTGTAAGTTGGTTTAGCCCAACTGCGGTGAAGCAGCATCAAGAATGCAACATCAGCCTCAGCATGGGGCAATATATATATATATATATATATATATATATATATATATATATATATATCACCTGTGCCCCATACTGAGGCTGATGTTGCATTCATGATGCTACTTCACCGCAGTTGGGCTATACCAACTTACACTTAAACTAGGTCTTTTTAATGTGGATAAAATCCATTCCGCTTTATTTGCTTTGTTCTGCCTACTTGATAATCTTCGCCCAACTTGCACACGTCGCTCATGCTAATTGTGGTAACTTTGCCTATCATGATCACGTGGTAGTTTTTAAATGACCTTCGGCCATTTTGTACTTCTCGCGGATTCGCTTATAACCAATTTACTCCGTATGCTACTTTAGCGAGTATTTCTGTCATCATATAGGTTCACTTTATTCGATATCTTTTGTGTCATATTGGCATTTCGAATGAATGGCTGTTGTTTGACATCTCAGGTGTGGCTGCACTTGATGTGCATGGTGATAAGGTGCCTACCTCTCTATTATTCACTACCTCGACCATCTGGTTTCAGGAGACAGTTAGTAGTTGCTGTAGGGGAAGGGGTGCACGGTCCCTGTGGCCCTGCTAGGCTCGAAGAGCGGTTCCATGCACTCAGTGTGGAGCGGACTACGGTCCAGCCACCGCCTTGTGTGCGCTTGATTCCCCAAATACAGCGTGCTTGTGTTTGTCTGTGAAGGAATGTGGGTCGGCTCCTTTGATGAAAAGTGGCTTCCATGCGCATGCCTCTCGGTCTTATTCCTTCGGGTTTACACTGGATATGGGTATGTGGTTAGAGCTGTGGGTGGTGCAGCGCAAGTCATCTATGGTCCCTCTGTAGGCGCAGGCGTCCTGTGGCTGGTCACAGTGACAGGCAATTCCGAAACCGGATGCCGCCAACCATATATATCACCATCTGTATACAGATATTGTAGCATCGGAACCATGGCGGAATAGGAAAACAGGGTTCGATTACATGAACAAAACAAATCAAAACAACTTTTTGCACATTTTTCCACTCGCACCTTTTGGGCGTTTTTAATGTTTTTTATTGGGGGAGGAAAGGGGATGATCCATCCAAGCTTCTTCAGGGCGTGAGGTACTACCCGGTTGCCCAGGCCGAAGTAGAGGTTTGTCTTTGGTTACTCCACCTGAGCCTTTGATCCAGAACCTAACCTACAAGGCAGCAGGGCGATATGTGGGTATCGCGACCCGTTAGGAGCCGGTGACCAAACTAGTGGTTCGTACGCCTTTAAAACTGCATAGGACCAGGGGCCCAACGCACCCTTGAATTACAATGCCACTCAGAGAGAGGCAAGGGGCTGTGACTGTATTTAGTGGCGAGTCACATCCGCCACGTCACAGTGTTATTAAACGGACATAAGCGGCTTGCCAGGCGAAATTCCACCGCGTCTTGGAATACTGCCGCCGAACTATTCACTGGAGCGAGATAATTCCGGACCACCCAGCTGGCACCACGAAGATGTTGTTCGGCAAGCCAGAGTAGAACGCTGTGATAGACTGGGAAAATGTATGCGAGCCATTCGTCAGCGCGCAGTGAGAAAACTTTCAAATGGCTGTTGGACTCCATTCTGCTGAGTAGGCAAGGATCGTATTGTTTCCGCTGCGATCTTGATTGTCCCCTACAGAATGACTTGTGGCAAGGATCCACGCTATCCTTGCTTTGAACGGAAGTTGATGGATTTGACGCAGGCCAAACGGAATGATAGAATAACATGTTCATGCTTCATTGAATATTGAGCTATGCTGATCTTCTCTAGTTCAGGATAGTTTGCCCAGGATAAAATGCGCATTACTGAAATAGCCAAGCAGCATGGAAAGAAGGGTTATGCTATCTTGGACGCCTTATTAACTTAGTGACTCTATTTGCACTGAGAAGCTCCAAAAACTGGTGACCACAATGATCGAAGGTCAGAATGAGAAGACATGAAGACCATTTCAGAAGCTTAGGGTTGTTTTCTATGGAAGGACGCAGATTGCGAAGTGACCTAATTGAAATGTTCAACATTTTGAAGGGCCTCAGTGGCATCTATTCTACGGATTTGTTTGAGCTGGCTACTTCCGACTACTTGCGTGGGCATCGATTTAAGCTCAAATAACGGAGGTCTCGGCTGGACATCAGAGGGAACCTTTTCACAAACCGTGTTTTAAGTAACTGGAATAGGCTTCCACCTTGTTCAATAGGATGTGAAAATGTAGAAGCCCTCAGAAATTTCATTTTTGTTCCTTTTTATTAGCCATCATATTAGAATAATCAATCCTCTGATTTTTACTCATAAGACACCAATCTACTACGAGAACGCTGAAATATGGCGCAAAATTTGAAAGTTCGGATAGAGGCACCCCACATTGTAAGTATTTCTGAGAAATGACATTCAAAAATGCAGCAAGACAACTCAAGGCGACTAAGCGTGCAACTAGTGATGTGCAACAATATATCGTAGAATAAATTGGTGACAACTAGGGATGCATAGAAGCTCTTGTCTTCCATTGGTTGAATAATATGAGCGCCTGTTGCAGTCCGATAAATTGTGCTTTTTCGAGTGACCAAGGAATTTGAGCTGAAGTTTAAAGCTGGCCGAGACTAGATGTGAAAAATTCTACGTATTCATGACTTTTGTTGGAAACTCCAATTACCAAAAAGCGCCCATGATAGAAGAATAAATGGGTAATCACACTGGCCATTGCGTATATTGGGAGAAGTCGAGATCCGGAGGAAGACCAAGGCGAGGAAGCATGTTACCAAGCTGATCTCCAGCGGACGCAAGGCGACTGTTCGGTGCCCCTAAACAAAATCTTTGGCCATATTTCGATTATTAAGACGAGAGCTTTGTGATTACCGCCACGGCATGGCCAAAGAAATTTAGGGGTCATATGTGAGACGTTCGTAGCTTATTAGTCAAGCAACCAGTATAATATTCCGTTAAATATGGACAAACTCGCAGGATATCCAACTATGCAAGGAGCAACATCCCGGCTCAAACCCTTGAGTCACGTAGGAAAAAATAAATTGAACGATATATATGGTCAAAATTGCACTCATTACAACCAGAATATTTGAAAAGTGCTCAAATATAATGGTGATGGATACATACGTGAGCTGATAGCAAACAGGAAGACGGAGGACGCAGTCAGTAAAATATGAATAAAAGAATAACTTTCAGGATGATGGAATTCGAGAAGATAAGTTTGACCCCCAAGCATCGCCCAAGAAAAAAATAGAATCAGTGTCTACCACGTCAAGTGCACAAAAATCAGCTAGAAAGTAATGCGCGATGAAATCTGTGAGGACGTAATAAAATAATCACAGTGAATTGTAAGTAAAACATCTCCACTACATGAGCTGAATTAGTGTGTGGTGCCATTTTTCACAGCGCTTTGGGCGAAAGTGGATTGGATGTTGGATAGTTTATCCGTAAATGAAATAGTAAAGAATTATTCGGATGGACAGTTTACTAAAAAAGATTAATATTTGGGGACAGGTACAACTTTGTACAAAGGGTAATCCACCTATTGTCGAAGTGCTTCGATCAAGTCAAAGATCATCCTTTACAGTCAAATCCATCGTGTATCGAATTGATGTTTTGTTGTAGCAGTCCATGAGAAAAGTGGTCATTTTACGATATAAATGCTCTCGATTAGCAGCTGTGGGGATAAAATGATTGTCGTCCGGATATATCTGGGAAGGGAAACGGGAACTTATTAACTGCAAGGAAGAAAAGTTTCTATATGACATAGACTAGCGAAATTTATTATTAGATAGTGCGCGCTTCAAGACGCTTCATCTGACGATTTTGTCATGCCGAAATCCACTAACTCTTTCTATTCGGAACGATGCTAACACAGTAGAGAAACCACTTGATGATTTCCATTTTTAGCATAGCCTCCAGTGGATGAATTCCTAATTTAAACATAGTTTCCTCAAACATACTGTTGGACAGAATAAAGTAGCTTATCAACTTTTCACTCACAGCCTGTGCCGCTTGGTCGATGCTTTATTGCAGGGGTGTCCAAAGTCCGGCCCCCAGGTCAAATGTTGCGCGCGTTAACATTTGAACATACCCACGGCCTCATAATGAAATAATAAATTCCGTTGGACCTTTGCGTACATGTGTACTTTCTGTTCTCATCGTAATGTCAAACGGAATACGGAGCGACATATTTTTACCTCAGAAAACCTGGCCCGCCTGACAAAAGGTTTAAACACCCGTACATTATTCGGTGCGTTTCTATTGCAGGGAATACCACATCAGAGAGTGGAGATTAAGTCTTTGGAAATTAAACAATGGGGAATATATTCCTACTAAAGCCAACAGTTTGTAGCAACGATTCCAAAATTTTCCAACCCTAAGCACACGTATCAATTTAACCGTTAGACTAGACCGTTGCAATCAAAGAGGGTTAAAAAGTCATTGCCCTTATGAAAAAGCATCCTGCGACCGTTTCGTCTAACAGAATACTTCTCACTCTGTAATTGCACAAGCTAGCTTATAGTGTCATGACTCGATGACAACTCAGTAAGGGAAGTTGATGCTCAGGGGCTAACTGTCACTATACCCTAGATGAGTACATGGCAGTTGAAGTCCTGTGTGGGCTACAGCAGAGCAACAAGTTGTATGATCACGGTGACTGCAGCTGATTCAATAGTCTTATTAACCTAATCGCTAGAATACGGCACTGGAAACAGATGGAGTGCACACTGCCTAGGACTCCCGGAATGATGTTATAACCATACGGTGTTTTATTAGATATACGTTGCTGTCTGAATGAGCACACCTGTGTCGAACTCCTACCAATACTACTCTTTACAACAAAGGGTAATCTGTTGGTTTTATGACTGATCGTAACTACGACATGTTTAGCTTGTTTTCGATGTTTTACCGCACACAGCATTCGTATAACCATGACTGTCGACTACAGGATGTTAGCATACAAGTCACTAACTCGTGATTAGTGGTGATCTAATTAGCGTTATGTTTCCGTCAGAAAAATCACTGATCAAATATGGGGTAGAACATAGATGAGTTTGTTGGCCGATGTAGATTGCTATCTACGGAAGCCGGCTTTGTTACTCTTACTTTCTAAATTTGTTACGCGCATCTCCAACACGGTTACTGCTTACCCATCCGAAGTATTTGTGGTCTCCTTAGGCCTCTCCAGCTAGTTACTGAACCGCGTTTACAGGTTATTTGTTCAGGTCGACTTGCATAAAAATCTGCGGTAATAGGTGTCTCAGGAAGATGGCTTGCCTGCGGTGGTAACATCCTATTTGCAGCGACGGTGTTATATCTTGGGAACACGAGTCGTCTATAGGACAAGCTTGTTCTACTGTGCCAGTTCAGGTAGCTCAATCACGTCTTACATCTCTCATGATAACCTATACTCCATCGCGATCTAATCACCAGTGAAGGATTTCGTTAGAGATGACTGCACCATAGTGATTTTTCTGCTGGGAACTATTACATGAGCACACTGACCCAGTGGCATTGTGATGGATCTCCCCGGAATGTTAATTAGAATTTCCAATTTTTGCAGTCACCAGTGTACAGATAAATTCCAATCAAATCCGATGCATATTGTTACATCAGTTACTTCTGACCATTAAGCTCAAAACATATCAAAGAATTACCGACATAATACACGAATTAAAGAAACGCAAGTAGCCCACGGTGTTCTCGAAGCTTAACAAATTATTGACGTTTAGCGACAACCTTACAAATATGAAGACAGAGCGAGAGATTCGCTTCTCAGCAGCTCCTCTTCTTCTTATATATATGCATAGGCATAATACACGAAATAACGATTTGTCTGATGTACTTACGTAAGTAAACACACCAGATGCAAACCACATCCACTGTAAGACATTAAAGTTGGCTATAATCATTTTATATTAACTGTTAGCCAAATTCATTCAGCGACCTCTTAATGAGATGCAGATTTCTCAGTGTGGAAGCACGTGTTCGTCACTACGATTGTCCGCCGAGAACCTTAGTTTCGTTATTATCCTAAGTCATTTCGTGTATCGTCGCTGGGACCCTCATGGGGTACTTGAAGAGCATCAACATCGTCTCTTCGAAGGTGCACAGAGATCTGTAGGATAGTTCATACACTACTAGTCTACTGCAAGCCCATGCCTGTTAGTCAAAGAATGTTGATGCTGGCGTAGTCACAGATACCGTCTATCTTGATTTCTCAAAGTTAATTGGCCTGCTTGAACATTACATATTGATTCCCCTGTTTCAAACTTATGGCATCGGCAATCTGGTTCCAGGATAGATAGCAAGTCTCATGTTAGACGTCATGTGAATGGGAGGGTCCATGCTAGCCTTCCTGACCCAATCGAATTTAACTGCAGCGCACCCGAATTATGGCACTCGGACCACATCCGTACCTTCTCATCGCAAACTATCTCGCTTTAACTATTCCGCTATTCGCCGATGACCTGAAAATATATCATGTTATCTTTGTAGTGGAAGATCACCCCTCATTGTAAAGTGATCCGGCTACAGATTACTTATACTCGGTTGGGAAATGATCCACCTTTACTTGGCCGGGCGTAAAGTTATCAGTATGCATTATTAAAGCAATCATGGAAACCGTTTATTTTTTCACAAATTCATGAGCGCTCTTTCATGAGAAGGACACAAGTGTGCTCCTGCATGGTGAACTTGGCTGTTTGGGGCAGACTAACAGGGGAATAAGGTAAACCAGCATAAATGCAGTATTTTCGGAAAAATACCGCTTTCTTTGTTCTGCGAAAGCCTTGTGCTTACTTGAGGCTGAAAGTCAACTATACAACGTTTAGTGCTCTGGTATAAGAAGGTTGTTGCTGTCCTCAAGAGTGCACAAGACAAAATTACAACGAACATTAAGGTGTTGTTCCACTATTATTTCGTCTTACCCTTTAACCTTCGAAACAAATGCTTGGGCAGCTAGCAACTGTCTTTTACTAGTAAGACAAAGCATGGGCTATGCTGTGCGTAAATGGGGCGCCACTTTTGGTTGAGACTGCTTAATATCGGTCACCTTTATTATTCGCTTATTCAGCAGCCTCTCTGTTTCATAGGTCCTTACACTCTAATCTTTCCAGTCTACGTTTTTTGTATGCTTAGTTTGCTTTGCTTCATGCATAGGTGTGTCAGTTTTCCTTTGTCTCTCTGGCCAGTGTTCACATTTTATCCGCTTGCAGCGGTTCCATGCAATCTGCTTCACCATTGTTCGTGACAATTTTGCGCCTTATCCCCTCTCGGCTGAGCCAATTGTAATTTCTAACTGTGGCTCTTTCATGTATCAGTCAACATCGCTCAGTCGATTACCTATTTCGACAGCTTTTCTTTCTTTGGGTCGTTGGCCGGTTGTTTGCATATGTTTTGTATAGTTTTCTACCGTGCATGAACACTAATTATTGTGCGGCAGTGTCAATCCTTCGGTCTCGTTGAAGCTCTTGGTGCTCTTGGTACAGATTGTGTGTGCAGTGTTCCGTTTGTTCTGCACTGGATTCTTACGATTAGTGATATCACTGTCTCTGAATTCATGAATTCTCTCTTCCTTACAGTCCTTACTGACTCTGCTCCTCTAATGCCTGCCAGCTTCAAGTCTTAATTGTACTCAAACGTTATCTCCCAAAGCTAATGATGGAAGGCGCCTCCATCCACGAGCACAGTAACCATTTTACCTTAGCATTCATATTCTTAGACAACCTTGTAAGATAGCGACAGACTACCTTGGATTGCAGCAGATACTTGGATGCCGGTATCAGTGTCATTGTTCTTCGACTGAACAAGTTGTGCATTGTGAGAAGTGAGCCCGCTAGTAGACAAATATCGTCCAGCTTTACTTGCTTTCAGTGAGACGACGTTGTCGGAAGAAAGCACACAAAGCAAAGTATTTCTGCCTGAATATGCATTCTCTCGCGGTTTCCGGTCCATTGTCCATCAAGGGCGTTGTGCATTTCCTTATGTCTTCCATTAAACGTACTGAGAACCCGCATTTTAAGGCCTTCGTAGTTGCACCTTGTACTTTTTCACTTAAGTTTATGGTTGCCTTAGTGTATATAAGCCATGTAAGTACCTAGAAGGAGTTCATTTTACGTATACGCAATTACTGTGAGAATAACTGTCTGGTGCCTGGTGATATCGATGTTCCAGAGTTTAACTGGACTGACCTACCTTATTACTCGGCGCTGATTTCGTACGCTGCGGACCCACTGGATTTGCCGACCGGATACAACTACACCTTTTCTTTGGCTTCCACTGTGGGTACATGAGCAACCAGCAGCCATCTAATGTGTTTCCATTTATTCAGTGGACACTGTCACTGACATTACTTACTGCTAGTGACCAGTTAGCTTATCCTTTCAGTGTACTCTTACGAGTTCGCTATGGATTGGCTTCCTAACATTTGGACCGCAAACTTTCAAGGGTTGCTAGACAGGGATTCGTCCTCGTCTTGTGTGATCTTGGGAAGGACAGTGTTCAGCTAGGCTGGGAAAGTTTTCAGTTATCTCGTTCATGTTTCTGCATCTTACCTCCCACTGGTTTTACTGGGGAGACGACAGCTCAGCCTACATGGATAGCTTACTTGAAGCAGAGCTAGCTTTAGAAGCGATCTTGATATTGCAAACATATCGATCAGCCCCGTCACAGCAAGCTTGACAGGCGTCAGGTGGTTCGGAATAAA